ATAGATGCAAAACAAACTGTTGACAGGATTCAACATGCATTTATAATAAAAACCTTCTCAGATCCTGGATGTAAAGGGAATGTATGTTAACATCTGAAGCCCACACATGACAACCCCACAGCTAACTCACACCCATGGTAAGAAACTGAAAGCTCTTCCTCTAAGACCAGAAAAAAAGGACAAGGATTTCAGTCCTCACCACTTTTACTCAACATGGTATTACAAATTCCAGCCAGAGCCCTTAGGCAAGAAAAAGAAATAAAAGGCATCCAGTTTAAAAGAGGTATAGCATTACTATTTGCAGGTAACATGATATATAATGAAAATTCTACTCCACGTTAAAAAATTGTTACAATGAACAAATTCAGTAGTGTTGCAGATTTATAAAATCAACATATAAAAATCTGTTGTGTTTCTACACCCTAAAAAAACTACTCAAAAGAGAAGAAAGATAATCCATGTATAATTGCATCAAAAGAATAAAAAATACCTAGGAATAAATTTAACCAAATTGAAATGCTTGTATGTGCACTGAAAAATACAAAATATTGATGAAAGAAATTGAAGAAGACACAAATGAATGGAAAGATATTCCATCCTCATGGATTGGAAGAATAAATTTTGTAAAAATGTCCACACAATCCCGAGCAATCTACGGATTTAGTGCAGTGTCTATCAAAATTCCACTGACATTTTTCAGAGAAAAATAGAACAAACAATTCTAAAATTCATACAGGACAAAGACCCCAAACAGCCAAAGCAATATTGAGAAAGAACAAAGTTGGAAGTGCCATGCCTCCTGGTTTCAAACTATAGTACAAAGCTGTAGTGATGGTACTGGCATAAAAACAGACACATCGATCAATAGGACAGAATGGAAAGCCCAGAAATAAACCCATGCATAGATGGTCAGTTAATTTACAACAAAGGAGGCAACACTACTGAAGGAGCCTCTTCAATAAAGGTTTCAGGAAAATGGGCCACCACATACAAAAAAATTAAGCTGGCCCACTATCTTACTCCACATACATAAATTAACTCAAAATGGATTCAAGACTTGAACATAAGACCTGAAACAATAAAATGTCTAGAAGAAAACACAGGTGGTAAGTTCCCTGAGATCAGTTTCTGGTGATGGTAGTTTTTGGATTTGACACCAAAAGCGAAAGCAACAAATGAAAGAACAGGGACCCACATCAGACTAAACACCTTCTGCACAGCAAAGGTAACCATCAACAACGAAAAAGTCACCTACCAAATGGCGGAGAATATTTGCTAACCATATATCTAAGAAGAGGTTACTATCCCAAATATATAAAGAATTCACATCACTCAGTAACCAAAAAAATGATTTAGAAATGAGCAAAGAATCCAAATAGACATTTTCCCACAGAAGACATTCACGTGACCAACAGGTACATGAAATCATGCTCAGTCGTTAATCAGCGGGGATAAGTGTTGGGAACCTTACAAACCTGTGCCACGGTGGGAGGCACCTCACACCTATTAGAACGGTTCTTACAGAACAGGCAGTAGCGAGTGTTCTCAGGGATGTGGAGAAAACTGACCCACATGCCTGTTGCTGGGAATGTAAACTGGCGCAGCCGCTGTGGAAAACAGGATGGAAGTTTGTTTAAAAATTACAAATTGAACTATTGTATTACCCAAAAATTCCACTTCGGGATTTTTGTCCAAAGGAGACAAAAACACTAACTCAAGATACTTGCACCTTTCGTGTTCATTTCAGCGTTATTTACAATAGCCAAGACATGGAAGCAACCGAAGAGTTCATCGGTGGGTGAAGGGGTAAAGAAAAGGCGGGACATCTATACAGTGGTATCTCATTCATCCATAAAAAAGAGGGAAATCCTGCCCTTTGTGACCACATGGATGGACCTTGAGGGCATTGTGCTAAGTGAAAATGAGGCAAATACAATATCTGCTCACTTATATATGAATTAAAAAAATAAACCCCTAACTCACAAATACAGAGAACAGATTGGTGGTTGCCCGGGGTGGGGGTGGTGAAGGCGGTCAAAACGTACCAACTTCCCGTTATAAAATAATAAGTCGGGTAGTCATGCACAGCATGGCGACTATAATCAATCATGCTGCACATTAAAGTTGCGAGGCAGATTAAAAGTTCTCAAAAGAAAATATGTAGGGTGAGGGGTTAACTAGACTTGTGGTGATCATTGTAAAATATATACAAATATCAAATTATGTTGTACACCTGAAACTAATACATTGTCACATGTCTACTATAGCTTAAGTATTTTTAAATTAGAATCTTTAGAAATATTTTGAAAGACAATGTAGGCTTTGCCTGCAGGTAGTAGTCTTTGTAGGGCTACGAAAACTACTCAGAAGACAGAGAGAGGACAAGCAAAATGCGATGTTTGTCTTTAAAGCAGAAATCTGATTTCTCACGTGGGCCCACCACCCAGGTTGCTCGAGGCTGCCCCTTATCATGGGGCCCATCGCTGGCTCTTCACACAGCAGACAAAGCCACACTGATGGTTTATGTCAAGAACAGATCAAGAAGAAATGACCTTCCTCCAAAAGAGGAGGCATGAAGGTGAAAGAGAACTGACCGTGAATGACCTTGAGACACCCTGAATGACCTGTGGTACCCCGCCAAGGCTGCTGGGACAAGGGCAGAGTCACCTGCACTAAGGGATTCTATGCACATGCCAGGGAATGAGCCTGTTGACACCCAGCTTCTTGAAAGAGATGCTTTGGCTCAGGCCTCTTAACGCCCCAGCTGCGAACTGCCTGCACTTGAAGTTGCATGAGAAGCCCATGGGTCGCGTACCGCATTTCAGGGTTTATTTGGCAGGGAGAAGGGGGTGCAGGGACATAACCAGATCTCCCTGGCTGGTTGCCTTAAACAGATTTATTTAGGTAATGCTCTCTGTTCCTCAGAAAAAGTTCCATAAATAGCAAAGAAGGGAACTACTGGGTTCCAGCCCGTCAGCTGGCCTGCACTGCTTCAAGGAGAAAGAGAGGAGGCCACTCGGAGGCTGCCGTCACTTGGAGAAGCTCCGGAGGGCAGCCCCGGACAGCCAGAAGCCAGGGGAGCAGGGAGGCTTCCCAGAAGGAGGGCACAGGGTGTCACTTCCCACTAGAAAGGTCCCCTGGAGAAGGGTTTCCTGCAACATCTACCATCAGTCATTTGCAGCATCTGGTTAGTGTTTCTGGTCAAGTCAGACAAGCAGATAGAAGCTGGAAGCAGCCACCAGGGAAAGAAGGGCCAATCCTTGGCCTGTGCAAGTCGTCTTTCTGCCTCAGGGTGGAGCTGGAGAGCACCAGCAGGGCCCAAGGCAGGCCTTCTCTACCCTTGCCCGGTGCTGGTGCTGCCCCCGCTCCTCAGTACCATCCACCGCCCCTCCCTGGTGCCGGAGCAAGCCCACCCAGTGCTGCCCATGTGATCAGCGTGGCCCCCTTTACCGCACGTACACGCTGTAGTGATAATTGGGGGGCTAGGACCATTTCTGATTTAAAATGATATGTGTCTCACCCTCTGGACCTTTTTTGCATCAAGGAGCACAGAAAATTATAATGATATTTATGAGGTGCAAGAGGCTGCTAGTTCATTACCGTCTCAGCACGCCTTTAATAGCCCATTCAAAGCTTAAACTCGCCAGTGTGAGAAGCTCTGCGGAAAAGACCAGCCGTTAATGTTGGCGGAAACAATGAGCCAGTCCATTTACAGGATTAAGAGATACCTAGAATTAGGCAAATAAAGATCTTAGAAATCAATGAAAGGAATGGTCTCTAGAAGAAACGTAACTAAGACTGAATAGGGCCCCAGGCAGGAGGAGGAGGAGGACAAGGATTTCTCCAGCTCTGGACTCCATTCCCAACCTGCCTTTTCATCCCCGCTTTGCACACCCTGGCCTCTCCAGTGAAGCCCCGCTGCTTGCTGCCCCTGCGAGTCCCCTGCTCACCCATCAGCCTCCGTGGTGGCCTCTCTCTCCACCATGCCACCGCCAGGAGGACAGCTGCCCATCTCAAAGGCCCACCGGGGGCCCCCTTCACTGGAGTGTCCTGTCCGCGCCCTCTGGGTGCCGGTGGTCCCTGCCTTGTGTAGCCCTGTCATTGTGCCTTCATCACGTTCTCTTGTCTGAGTGACGTTTTTTCTTTCCTCTCAATGAAACCTAAATTTCACATGGTCATAGACTGAGGCTTCCTCATTGCGGTTTCCTCGCCTTTCTCAGTAACAGGTACTCCATACATGTACATGACATTGAATGAAATGTCCCAAGTGTCTGTGGGAACACCGCGTTTCTGGGAGACCGCAGTCAGAACGCTTCTCTTATACCCGGGATCCATAAATCAGACCGGTTGGCGATCCTATTAGAAAGAGAGCCAGACCCACTGTCCTTAAGTGTTACTGAACCCGAGCTTGGCGATGTCAGGTTGCCCCTCAGGCTTGGGCTTCCAGCCAGACCAGAGGAAGAATCTGAGAGAAGCAGATGCAGGCGCAACAGAGGGCCCCAGCTTCGCGCGACAGAAAGAGACCCCCGCTGAGCTGCGGGGAGGGTGGGGAGAGACAAGGACAGGGGTGAGGGGTTCAGGGTGCACCCGCCAGTCCAGTCTGAGACTGTCCATGCGCCATTTGTCCGCAGTGGTCCCATCCCCTCCCAGTAACGTTCCCAACACTGGGGCTGTGGTTGGAGGAAAAGAACTTCCAAGCTTTTTCTTTTTCTTTTCTTTTTCTTTTTTTTTTTTTTGCATTTAAGGGTAATTCTTATCTCCTCTCAGCGGGCCTCCCTCCTGTGGCTCTCAGCCGAGCCACTCTCCCGTGTGGACTTGGAGAGTCGTTCACCATTGTGACACGGGACTGCGTCTCCCCCTAGGCCCTCCTTGGTATCACCCCAGGCTCTGCTGCCTGTTTCTTTGCTGTAGAGTTTGGAGAGTAAATGTATTGCCACGACATTGCTGGAAGTTTCCAAGTTCCCAGGTGACTAGCAGGATGTGCCCTCTTGCCCCTACAGGCGCCGAGGACGCACAGGAAATGCCCTACGCCCAGCGGAGCCGGCCTCTCCTCGGAGCTGGAGCCTCCCTGCGCGCCCGCAGCTCGCCCCTCCACACCGAGCCACCCGCCTGGCAGCGGCCCGCAGCTCCTCCCGGACAGCCCACGCCTGGGGCCCCTCCAGCCGGTTCTGCCCGCGCCACACCAGCAGGAATTGGCTGGACGAGCCCGCAGCGGCCCCTGCAAGTCCGTGTTCCCGAGGAGCAAGTCCTTGTTCTGTTTGCCCACAGAGGACTCCTCCGCAGCCCGCTCGGACGTCCCCAGGTGTCGGTCAGGCACAGGTGCCCCAGGGCACTGGGCGCCGGAGTGGAGACACGGCCTCCTCCTCTCCATCGACGACTTAGAGGGGTCCCAGGAGACGGACGTGGACACAGGCCTGCAGCTGTCCTCCTCGGACCTGTCCGTGGTCTCTGCCTACTCCGCGCCCAGTAGGTTCTGCGGCCCCTGGGAGACGCCCCTCCCCTCCGAGGGAGGCGGCCACTGCACCGGGCACAAAGGTGCCAGAGCTGGACCACCGCCCACGGGGAGTGGGGTGAGCACGGAGACCCCCTGGGCTTCCCTCCCTCTCTTCGCCAAAGGGCCTTCGCGCGACCTGGCAACAGGGGTCGCTGCTCCCCCAGCTTCTGGTGCCGCCTCACACACAGCGTCCTCCTCCGAGCTCCCTGGAGGAGCCCCCAACACCCAGCGGACTGGCCGAGACGTCGTTCTGCCTCCAGCACTGGCTGGACCCGGGGACAGCGACACAGAGGAATTCTACATCTGAACACCCTCTACTCTGGTTCTTTCTCAGACACACAGCTCGCCTTCCCCGGGCCTGTCTGGAGCCTAATTATCTGGTTCATCGGATCATTAGCGGCCTCTGCCATGCCCCCCATTCTGGGGACTGGGTGGGGAAGGTGCTGGCACTTTTATGCAAATAAATTCTCAAGCTTAAGTCGGAAAGTATATTTTTAGAATACGCGATACCATTTGAGAGATGGTTTAGTGCGTTTATCCAATTCAAGTGTTTCATACAATTATTTGCTATGAAAAGAAAACCTAGTCAGCCAGAGCTGATTCGGCAGTTTTTCATGCCGTGAGGCCAAAATGTCGAATGTGGGAAAGATACTGACTGTATGAGGAATTAATGCGCAGCACCCTGTTGTACAGCGTGCAATGGAGTTTCCAGACAGACTCACGTGACCAGCACCCAGCGACCCCTGAGAATTTCCAGGTGGCGTGTATAGCGAAAGGGGGCAGCTTGCTAAGGCAGCCGGGAACATCAGTCAGCCGGGAACATCATTCCTCGCTTGGATGCCTTGCAATATCTGCAAATCGGGATTTACACTGAAGTGGCTCGTGTACTGTATGAGCATTTAGCATGAGTAGCAAGCACTCTTGGTGCATTTCAATAACGTTTTGAGTCCCCCAAACTGGATGTGCATTCACCTTCCTGCAACACAAGCACCGTAACAAGCGCGGGGCCACAGAACATCCCTCCACCACCTGCCTTTACTGGGCTCGCCGAGGAGTCGTTGTTCACTGAAGTCCCAGAATGATGCGGGATTTAGACAGTGTGGGCAGGTGGTCTTAGGGGCCTTCAGTTTTAAAAACTGCAATCTAAGGGCTGTGTACGTTTCATCTAAGTAACAGGAGCTACATTCGTTACTGCTTTCTCCAGTAAACAGGCCTCGCCACTCTGCCTTTTTGACTTTTCTAGACTGTGTAACATCTTAACCAGCATTTTTGGTCACAATAAATGTCCCTTCTCCTGCGAACGGGATGCTGCATATGAGGTGCTCCTGCATGCACAGCACCTGGGTGCTGGCCTTGACCAGTGCGCAGGCGCCGGAGCTTCCTCCCAGCCTCCGGCCGTCCTGCCCGTTATCTGCCTCAGTCACAGTGTGAGTGGTGGTCCAGCCTCGCCCCTCTCACACTCCAGCAGGGTGTGGTTACAGTCCTACCCTCAGCAACGCCAGGGGCAGCCTTCGAGGGCAAACCCGAGCAGTCCCGGTGGCTGTTACCTCTGGGGAAGAGCATGTATTTGCTTTGCTCGTTTCAGACCCAGCGCTCCTTGGCCATGTTATTCAGAGCCATCTGCACCTCTCAGGAAGCGCCCACCCAGCCCAGGCACAGCCTCAGAACCCTCCCCACACGGCCCTCCAGGCAGCTGTTCCCAAGCCTCCAACTCGCAGGGAAGCCTCAGTCTCCGCCAGTCCTGTCAATGAAAGCCTTAGATCTTGCCCCAGACACCCTGGATATTCCGAATTACAATATTCCACTCCAGTCTAAGTAAATAGAAACATGGTCTCTTGTAATTCTAGACCGGGGTGAGCAAACTTTTTCTGGAAAGGGCTAGATAATAAATAACGTAAGCTTTGCCACCCGAATGGTCTCTCTCCTGACTACTCAATGCTGCCATGATCACATGAAAGCAGCCACGGACAATACGTGAAGGAGCAGGAGTGGCCGAGTTCCAATAAAACTTTATTCACAAGAGCAGGAGGAGGGCCCAGTTTCGCTCAAGAGTTGCAGTGTGCCAATGCTCCTGCTAGACCGAGGCTGGTTTAAGACCCCAGCCACAGTCCGAGGAAGAAAATCCAGGTCTGCAGCCCCTGCCCCCGTGGTGCGCGAGGCCAAGACGGTGGTGGGCCCCTCAGGTCAGGCCAGTGGCTCCAGACCCTCAGGGAGGGGCTTCCTTCTGCCTAGAGGGCCACTAGCTGCCCACCTGCTGCACAGAAATGGTACTCACCAGCAGTGACTGATGAAAAGCAACTGGCTCACGTTAGAGAGGAGGAGAGAAATAACGTAGAGGTGTTGACTCCACCTCCAAGGAACAGGAGTGGGGGGCAAGCACAGAAGCAGCAGAAATCCACAAGGCAGAAATGAATGGACCAGCCACCAAGGGGCAGCCCCTCCCATCTTCATTCTTAATCAGCACGCTTAGTTCAGTGTCCTGGCATGGACCCTTAGAATTGCCTTACAGTCCACCTCCGAGCCCACCTAGAATCGCTCTCTGGTCCCACCCTTTTTCAGTGTCCCACCCTCAGCTGACCCCAAAGGACGTCAGCAGCACCCAGAGAAAGCAGAAAATGCAAGGCGCCCCATAACAGAGAGAGAAGGGAAGGGAACCCAGCACAGACCGCAGCTGGGCCCCTGCCCTGCCCTCCGGTGCCACGGTCGGAAACGGCAGCTACTGTGTGGAGAAGGAACCGCAGGACGGAGCCATTCCCTCCATTTCTGGTCATGCACCAGCCTCTCCCTCGTCCAGGGAGGCTCCTGACACCCACAGTGGGCCTGACTCTTGGGTAATCAGTGTTGGGCCTGATGCTGGCATACTGTAGGTGCTCAATAAATTTGTTCAATTTAAAAACATGGAGGTTGCCTCAAATTATCTCTCTCCTGGATTAGGCTCTAGACGGACATAGGCCATCTAGATTTGAGCCCTGATTTTTTTATCATTTTTTGAAACCCAGTCTCCTCTTCTAAGCCTTGTACATGCCCGGCTAGCCCCAGAGGGCCCTGCTAGCAAGAGCCTCTGCCTAGTTCACAGCTCATCCCTTATTTGTCTCTTTTCAACAAAAGGTCCCCCAACATCATGCTCACAGCCCCACCAGGGCTAAATACTAGGAGGCCTGAACACCACCTAGTATCTTCTTTAAAGATCGAACATTTTTCAGGGCGGTCCTTAACTGCCCTGAGAACCCTGGGTCACCCGTGGCAGTACAGTGGGGCCACCAGAGAGGCTTTTGTGATGCTGGGAGGGCTGGTATGTGGCTCGCCAATGGGCCACGGTGCTGCTTCTTGAGCCCAGCGGCCCAGTGGCAGAGGACAGCCACACGGGAGCCTGTCGGCCTGGACTGTCCAGGACATTCCAGGTGGGAACAAATGTTTACCGGTGTCAGGAAGACATCTGAGTTCGTCCGTGGCTGATGTCCTCAGCCACAACGAAATCGGGAGAAATGCAGATATCTCCCCATCACCCTGCGGGCTTTCTGTAAACAAAGGGGTTCTCCCATCCATCAGCCAGGAGGTGCCTGAGTAGACTGGCAATTCCTGGAAGAGATTCCTTTTGTTTTTTAAGGTTTTATTTCTTTGTTTTTAGAGAGGGGGAGAGAGAGGGAGAGAGAGGGAGAGAAACATCAGTGTACAAGAGATACATGGATTGGTTACCTCTCACACACGCCCCCCAACTGGGAACCTGGCCCGAAACCCAGGCATGTGCCCTGACTGGGAATCGAACCAGTGCCTAGAAGAGATTCTTAAAGGCAAATTAACTGGAGAGTCTCTCTCTCTCTCTCTCCCAAGCCCACAGGACAGTATCAATGACCGGTTCTGGCAGAGATCCCAGGACTGAATTTCGGGGTGGTGGTGGCTGGTAGGGGGAGGGGGAGAGGAGTAGCTGAGTAGTCCCCTACAGCTTCTCTGCCCAAGACCATTGCTCCCTGGGCCCAACTGGGACATAAATGCCTCCTTCTGATCTGTAGGGATCTTCTCCCAATCCTCTGTTAATCCAGTTGACAGACACTGCAGAGGCTTGAGAAAATAACCAGAGAAATCAGTCCGAATAAAGATGGATGCTGCAAGGAAACAGCTTTTGCCACGATTATGACAAATGGATTCACAGGAGGCAAGAACCTGAGTGGAAAGAGTGTCATATAATTACTGACGGTTTCTGCTAACAGCTTTTTTCTAACCTTGGGCACAGAGGCCTAAATACAAATGACTTTAAATGACATAACTTATCCAAGTGAAGAACGGAGGCAAAAATGAATGGGGAATGTCAGCACAGTTGGGTCTTTTTAACAGTCAGTTTTCTATTTCAAAAGGGTGATAATATTGCCCAGTTATGTGTCCACTGCTAGGAGCATCATACTCATTTCACGCAGACAGAAGGACACCCTCCGTAACCTCCCCACCCGGTTGAAACACTGATCTTCTACGCGGGGCATCTCGTGGCTAGACCTACCCCTTAGGTCACCCAGTGCCCAGTGCGTTTTGGAGGGCAGCGCTCAGAATGTGAGATTGCGATGGGAAAGCTTTGGCGCCACCTGGTGGCCGCCACGCCCTGGAGATGCCAACGGCTGTTCTTTTTCATTGAAGACTCCACCTGCATGAAACGGAAGACTTCTGTTTATTATTCTGCCGCTAATTATTTCTGTGAAGTTTTGAGGCAACTTAAATTTCAATGACACGAGAAAATGCAAGTAGAAATAGAAAATCGGGGCTAAGAAAAAAGGTTATAAACATGCCAAGTACAGAGGGAAAAGGTTAACTGCTGTGGATGAATTTCCTAGAAGCCAAAGCTCAGTCCTTTACATTTGTGATTAGAGAATCTAGCGACATCTCATTGAAGTTGGCTCGATGCCCTTCCTCCCTGGAAACCAGGTTTTTCTTAGCACAGGTTTCTACGATCACTTTCGCAGTAGGGGGTTTTCCTAAAGGATCTTCCCTACTTTAGTTCACGTTGGTAGCTTTCTTGATGGGAGGATGAATGCACAAGACCTGGAGGGGTAGACACAGCCTCGCACTTCGGCCAAGCCTCCCTCAACGTGCCCTGCAGCACTGTTGGAGGAGGGAAATTTGCCCCTCATCAGAAAGCCTTCAGGGGGGCCTCCTCTGGTCTCTTGAGGCCAAATCTGCAGAGTCTGGCACGTGGAATACAGGTGGGGAGGCTGTCATCCCCCCAGGAAACTAGAGGCTCCCATGGAGAGGCCACACCTGCTGACGCCCCCCCTGCATCCGCAGGTGCAGGTGACAAGTCCAGCTCTCTAACAGCCTCCAGTTCAGAGGCCTAGACACTAGGAAGCTCCTCCCATTTTTCACTGACATTCTGGAATAATTGTTAGGAATTTGGGTCCCTGCACCTGTTTCGGCATTGTTCTGACTAGATTTGCTTTTTATCATTCATTCAACAAGCATATGCTGAGTCCCACTATGTGTCAGGCAGTGGGCTGAGGGCCTAGGATTGAATGGGAGAGACACAATCTCTCCCTAGTAGAACTAACCTATAACCATCCCTGCTGTTTACCACTTACGTATAGATTTTATAATCTCCCGGATGGACCCGCTGGAACAAACCTTGGCTACAGTTACAGGTGGCAGCTCAGATTTTGGCACCTAACAGACCTGGCTTCCAATTCTGACTCCACCACTCACTACGAGAACTTAGGATATGTTACTTCACTTCTCTGAGCTCCACGTTATCATATGTAAAATGTGGACAACATTCAAGGGTCATTACAAAAATTAAATTATATATAATCTGTGCAGAAGTTCCCCTACTGCCTGCCCTGGAGCAGGTGGGTCATCAAGGCCGCTGTCTCTCATTCTGGCTCAGGCACGGCCCTGCGCTCAGCCCAGTGCTCGGCGGGCAGGGGAGCACAGACGGGGTTTGGCTTACAGTGCTCTTCTCAATGAGCTGTTCTACCGCCACCTCTCAGCCGTCTGTCTGGACAGAATCCCACCTAACAGGACATCCTCTTTCCATCACCCCACCCTCGGTCTCCCCAGCCTTTCTCCTTCCTCTGCGTCAAGGTACCAGCAGCAAAGCCAGACCTGGGTGGCTCTGACCACTCAGTGCTGCTCCTCCCAGCTCTCCGGCTCTGAGCAGCCCTTCCCTAGCCACTCCCCCTCCCCCCTGCACCCCTCAGACCTCGGTGACCTGCTCCGCCTTCGCTCTGCCACCTCTTCCCTGCACCCTCTCCTCTGCCTTCCCGATCCACCTGCCCTACCTGGAGCCCCGGCTGCCTCTGTAGCAGCTGTACCTCTTCCCCTCCAGCCTTCTGTTGCCCCCTCACCAGGCGGAGTTGCTCTGTTTCTACCCCCAGCTGTGATACACGCACCGAGCTGAGTAACCCCTGTTCACGTCACTCCTCCACAGCTGTTGGACAGCATTCGTCCACCCTTAAAGCTTTCAGCTGTCCTGACCTGTCTCAGCTTTGCAAATGCCCCCTACACCGCCGCAGTCGGCACTGCTCTCAGCAGCGAGCCTTGCCCGCTGTTCAGCCAGTGTCATCCCTTCGGGCTCCCTGCTCATGACGGAGGCTGTGTCTCACTCCACTGAGGTAAGAGGCTACAAGAGACAAACAAGTACAGTGGGTTTACTGCCAGGTCCTCTGCCCTTGGAAATGCTCCGACAACTGAAAATGCAACGTGGCACACGACAGAGGACATTGATTGGTGCAGCCGGGAGACTGGCTGTCTTATCTCCCCTCCAAGAGTTTTGTTCCACTTCCTGCAGAATGAGCCCCCTGGGCCCAATGCCAGTGAATCACCCCACGCCAGGGGTTCCGAATTCTCCTTGGCCATACAGCCAGCCCGGTGGCAGCCCAGGCCTGTGTTCGTCACCTGAGCTGGCTCTGCAGAACTATAGTGACCCCTGTGCTCCTCTGGTCAGTGTCAGAGCCCCCAGCCCTGCCCCAGGCTTTCAGGAGTGATTGATCCCGTCAGCTTTGTCTTTTCTAAATGCAGTGAACTGGCTGCACCTGTGGAGATGGGCGCTCCTGGGCACCTGGCATCAGGGTGGTGGCTGTGACCCAATTACATGTGACCACTCCCTGGGACCTCCACCTGGTCACATTTCTGTCCTGGGTCCAACCCAGCCTTTGCCTCAGGTTTGCTAAGCACCGAGCTTTCAACGGGGTGCCCCACATACTGAGGGACATCTCACTTGTTTCCAGTTGGCAATTATGAACAAACCGGCAGTAAAAATCGGTGTTTAGGTTTTTGTGTGGGTGCACACATGTTTTTGACTTGTTGGACAAATAGCATGAAGCAGGAATCTTGGACTGTGACCCATCACTTTTCTGCTTTGCCTGTTACCCTTCTTCCTGCCTGCAACTCGGGGGGCAGTGCCTGGAGAAGAGTAGCCATCCTTCGGCTCCGAGCAGAGGGGCTCCTTGCGAAGGCCCCAGGGTGCATGGCGGTGGAGTCACTGTACCAGCACTGGACTGCCCACATCAGGCTTTTTGTTACGTGCGAAAAGATATTCTATTTTGTTACACTACTGTTCAGCCCCACTCAGCCCCAACCAGTCCACCAAGAAGCCTTCTCTGTGTTTCTGAAACCACCTGGAACTGGCCAGTTTACGGACAAGGCTTTGTTCTTAAAATATTTTTAGCCTGGAAGCAATGTAGTGGTTCTTTTTTTCTTGATTTAAATTCCATCCAAATCTTGAATCTTTTACTTTGTTTAAAATACATTTCCCCACCTCAGTGAATCTCAAAGAACAGAGAAGTGCGTTGCCAGTTTTCGTGGTGGGGAGAGGAAAACTAGAGTTTTCTTCCTCACTGAATAACCAGTTGTGGATGTGAAAACACCATCTGCAGTTCGGTACC